CGGGGCGCCGACGTGGAGCTGGCGGCGCTGGAGCAGGAGCGCTGCCTGGACGGCTGGGAGTACAGCCGGGAGCTCTACCGCTCCACCATCGTCAGCGAGGTGCGGGCCGCGCGGGGCGCAGGGGAGCGAAGGGCGAGACGTGCAAGGTGCGCAGCGTGTGCGGTGCACGAGGGATGTGAGGCGTGCAAGGAGTGCGAGGTGCACGAGATGTGCAAGGTGCACGAGGTGTGCAACCTGTGCACGGTGCACGAGGTGTGTGGGGTGCACGAGCTGCACAAGGCGTGCGAGGCGCGCGGCGGGTCCGAGCCAAAACCCGGGGAAGCCGCTCGCAGGAGGGACGCGGGGAGGAGCATCCCGCGCGTTTCCCAGCCCTGGGGATGCGCAGGGAGCGGTCGTCAGCGGGTGACCTGCCCCGAGCCCGCGTGCGCGTGGAGCGACCCCGCGACGGCTGCAGCGCAGGGAGCGGGTGCTGCTCCCGGCACCGTGCTCCAAGGGCTCAGTGGAAAAACGCGGGGATTGGGAAAGCGGGAGAGAGGCCGGAGGGGACTCCGCGGTGCCAGCAGGCCCCGCGCCCGGCTCCGTGGCCAGGAGCCCTGCGGATCCCGGCCGCGTCCTGGGGCACCGGGCGCCGCTGCGGGAAGGAGACGGGACCGTCCGGGCCCGTCTGCGGTGGGAGCGCTCGGGCGCTGCCCGGCGGGCAGGGAGGAGGCAGGACGGGGAGGCTCCTGCCCCTGGGCAACGGGAGCTGGAGCTCCTGGTCCCGGCGGATGCCGAGCGGGAGCTGCCGGCTCTGGACGGGACACGGCCTGGGCTCTATCCTGGGACACGGATCTGCCCTCACTGCGGTGCCCCCGGGAGCGACTGTGAGCAAGAGGATGGGAACAACTGCCGGGCTTCCATCTGGAAGCCAGATGGATATTTGTTTCGGTTAGGACATTTGGAAAAAAATTTGCATTCGGTTTTCAAAGAAGGAAAACGGGTGTTGATGAGACACGAGAAGAGGCGGCTCCGCTCAACTTCTGATCGTTACTATCGCGGCCAACATTTTTCCCTGCATTAGCAGCGAGCCAGAACATGCCAACGAGCAGCTCAGCGAAGCCTTCCCGGGGCCGGGGCTGGTGCCCCTGGCGCCGCTCACGGCGGGTGCAGCCGGGGGCTCTGAGCCCCCTTGAGCTCTTGGCTGCCGAGTCCCTCCGGGCTCCGGTTCCCCAGACCTGGGGCTCCGTCCTGGGCACGCGGCGGCATCAGGGTTTCCTTCTCCGACGTGGCCCGGCTGGCAGACACGATGATTAATGAGCGATTCTGGATCAATAAATCACATGCACATCGCTTCTAGCAGTGAGCAGGGCCATTCTCTTGTTTTTCTTCGGTATTCTTTCAGAAATCTTGCAAGTCTGTAATGGTCTTTGGTGACAGCGCCAGGCAGAATTTGCTGTTCCGCAAGCCCGCAGCAGCTAGGTGCTTTGTGGGAAGAGATTTGAGGTATTTATGATAATAAAGTGATTAAATGGTGTATTCTTCCCCCACAGGCTGTCTCTCTGGAAATGAAAGCACTTGGTTTGACACTTAAGTGAACTTTGCTCCCCACTATGCTGCGCCAGGGGCTTTGCAGAATTAGTTATTTGCAGGTTAATGAATAATTATTCAAGTAAAGATAGCTTGGAAGTTGTAGCTGCAGTTAATTTAGGGGGAAAATCCTCGGTTTGAATTCCTGCAGTGCTGCTATTTCAGTCCTGCAGTACCAGACTGTCTTTGTTGCACTGCCCATCCTTCCCATGCTCACGGCGAAGTTTAATTTTTGTGGCATATGCAGGACGGTGTCAGAAAAGGAAGCCTTGAATAGCGAGGTGGGAGGCATTTGGCACCCATAAAACACAGGAAGCAACTGCACTCGTGAGTAAACAGTAATTAGCTGGTTCTCTTTTGAGGTGAAAGTGCCTTGATTGCAGCGCAGGCTCTGTAAAAACGTTAGGGTTTCAGGCTGGGTGCCTGCAGGCTGCACGCGAGGAGCGGCCGCTCCGAACGCGCCGGCTCTCGGCGCGGACTCCCGGTCGTCCCAGCCGTCCCGCTCCGGGGTGTCTGTGTCCTGCGTCGCCTCGAGCCTCGACGTGAAGCGGCTCCGAGAGGCGGCGGGCGCTGACGCGGTTCCCCCGGGCTCCCGGAGCCGGGAGGAGGGAGCCCTGACGCCCTGTGCGCCGAGAAGGGGCCTCTGCCCAGCGCTTCCCGTGCTCATCTCCCCTTGCTGCTTCCACCTTGGATTTTAATATCGGGAATAACACTCGGCTTCATCCGCAAATGTTGCCAGCTCGTCACATACCCGTTCTTCCCGCATTGAGCAGCGCGGTGCCGGGAGCGCTGGACGCTGCTCCCGCAGGCACAGGCGCTGCGCATGGTGCCAAGATGCAACCAGCCTCTGCCCAGGGGCCTTCCTGGGTCCTGGTAGGAGTTTAGCTGGTATTCCAAGGGAAAAAAGTGTGGATTTTCACATGCTACATGAATCGTGTGCTGAAAGAGCGCAAAAAAACCCAAACTATTTCACGTAAAAACGTGTTTCCAGTGAGGAAGCTCCTCATGTCCCCCAGCGAGAAGAGGGGATGCTCTGTTCCGCGGCGCATCCCTCGGGCAGGAAAGGCGGTACCGGCTCCTCGCAGCGGCTGTAGCTCGCGGCGGCTGTTCCCCACAGCGGTGGTGGCTGGTGATGAGGGGTATCCATGGTGGTGGTTGCTCCCTGGTGCCCATCACCAGGTCCGGGGGCCCCTGGTCTTCAGCGGGTTCCTGGTGGGCTGGGACTCAGAACAGCAGTGAGAATCTCCGTTTTCTTTTACATGCAAAACAGATACGTTTCCTTGAAAATGTAACCCTTCTACAAGGGATTTTATTTTTTCCCAAGACCAGCATCCTTGAAAGTATCAGGGCCTTCCCTAAACACCCCCTCACTTCCACCTTATCAAATACAGCGAAGAGAAACACCGATAAACAGCCAGCCCACGTCCCTCAAGCTTTTCTTGTCTTCCAGCAGCGACTAGAAAATGCTTCACAGAAATGGTCAACAATATTTTTTTCTGCTATTAACCAGATTTAAGCACCAAATCTAAGTCTTTTGCTTTTACAGACTATGCATTCCTCGTGCAGTTTTTAGAAACAGGCAGGGGCTGCATTCAGAAACGTGACTGTTTTTGTTATTTAGACTATATTGGGTTCTAGCCTGACAGGATGGGCTTCTTTTTAATGTGAGAGTTGCTTATTTTTGTTGTCCGCAACCCGGCTGAAGAGCAGCCGAAAGCCTGAACAACCCGGGGGGGAAATTTGGGCCCGAATCCCTGCGCTTTTGTCGGCCGCTCCTGCCGGCGGCGACGGCTCCGCACAGCCCTGCACCATGGCCTGGGGTGGAAGAGCCGGCCCCGCACCCTGGTATCAAAGCTAATTATTAAAACTGGTGCACTTTGATCTGCGGGCCGCTCCGCTGCCTTGTGGCAGGAACATCTGGGATTATCCAACGCAGCTTGTGCGGGCTCGAGCCCGGGGTCGCTGCGGAGCCCGCTCGGAGCCCGCTCGGAGCCGGAGCCTCCGGCCAGCTGGAAGTTTCCGTGCTGGCCCGGGCCCAAATGGCCCTCAAAGCCAGTTCCCGCACCAGGGATGAGTCACGAGCAGTGAATCTCCGCCGCAGGTTGTTGGCATGGAAAAGGCTTTGAAAACACTTTAGGATGAGCAGAGAGGGTTATTTGGTGCCTGTTTTTGTTTTAGCACACAGAAATAGAGCAGTTTTCATGCCAGAGGTCAGGTAAATGGGAAATTTCCTTTGCCGGGGGCCAGGCCGCCTGCATAGCTGGAAACGGGCAGAAACACAAGTGTGGAAAAAGGGAGAAACACAAGTGTGGAGCCGGGCGTTTGGCACACGCGCAGTTACCAGGCGGCTGCCTCAGCAGCAGGTCGGTGTCCCGGCGCCCTGGAGAGGGTCTCAGCGCTCCCGTTGCCTTGCAGTGGAACCTGGTGTGCGAGGACGACTGGAAGGCGCCGCTCACCACGTCCCTGTTCTACGTGGGGGTGCTCGTGGGCTCCTTCGTCTCGGGGCAGCTCTCGGACAGGTAACGCGCTCCGCGGCGAAGGTCCCTTCGCGGCGGCTGGACGTGCTCCTGCTCGCGGCGACGCGTCTTCCCTTCTCCCCCCTTTCTCATGCCGCTGTCATTCCTCGTGGCAAGTTAATTGAAAATTCATTATTAGGAAGAAAACCTGTTCCCTTAAGTGGAAGGAAAGCACCTAGAATGGACAGTGATGGAGATAAACTGCGCACAGCCAGTAATAAGAAAGAACCACGACCCACAAAGGATACTAGCAATAAAAGGATGCTAATAGTTGCAATATATAAGATATACCAGGCGTGTCATCTCGGCAGTGTTTAAGCCCCAGCTCTACAAGTGCCCGGCGCAGCACACGGGCCCCTCGCGAGCCCTGCATCCCCGTGAGCCCCCGTTGCTCAGCGGGGTCCCAGCACAGCCCCGCCTCCCCCTTGAGCCAGAGGCCCGGGAGCACCCAGCGTCCCGAGAGTTTCAGCAGAGGGTTTTGGAAGCCTGGTGGGAGCTTTAATCCGAAAGCCGCCAGTATTAAATTCCATGTGATCCGAAATTAATCTGAGGCCTTCTGACCCCGGTACAGAAGTCGGTTGGTGTTACTGTTTGCAAGGAGACGGGATAATCCCTAAATCTTGCTGGAACATCCCAGGAAAAGCCTGGTGCACACAGAGGGGCCAGGATCCCCTGCCTGCTGCCACCAGGCCACTGACAGGACTTCCAGCCACGAGTGCTAGCCCCTTGTGGGAATGATGCTAAGCTGGGAGGCCCAGGATGGGTATTTGTACCCCATTTCTCTGCTCCAGGGCAGCTCCATACGTGCAATAACCTTCTCCTTTGTCTCTGCAAAAGGTTCGGCAGGAAGAACATCCTTTTTTCCACGATGGCCGTGCAGACCGGCTTCAGTTTCCTGCAGATCTTCTCTACCAGCTGGGAGATGTTCACCGTGCTCTTCGTCATAGTGGGGATGGGACAGATCTCCAACTACGTGGTGGCCTTCATCCTGGGTATGAATTGGTCCACATTATATCAAATGTTTGCTGGGTGTAGTGCTGTGTTTCTTCTTCTGAACCTGCATCATTTAAAAAGAGACACCAGTAAATTGTCACTAGTACAACTGCTGATTTAGGGCAGCAGGATGTTTTTTTCTCCTGGGTACTTTAAAGAATCTCTCTGAATGGGTATAGCCTCTGCATATGACAAGCTTAGAGAAGAAGATGAGTACAGGAAACAGCTCCATAAACATTTCTTTCCCTTCTCTTTAGAGAACTATAGAAAAAGTTTAGGGGAGTGTTCAAGGTTTGTTATCTGAAGAAACAGGTCTGAGATAAAAAAGGTGGTTCAGGCTCCTCCTGGCCTCACCACCCTCCTCTAAGACTCCATGTGAAGTCACGTTAAGACTTCATCTTAACCAGGCAATTCTGCTGCAAACTGCCTGGCTTCAGTGAAGAACAGTAATTAACATAGCAACAAACTGAAACTTTCAATAGTTTAAAACAATAGTAAAGGAAATAATTAAAAACTGGAAAACAATGCTAAAACCTTATTAAATGGCTTTGCAAGTTATGAAGTTACTGAATACAGAAAGAAAAAACCTTAGCTACAATTTCACATGTGGCGAGCTGGCTTAATCCTTGATTCTGGTGTCGTGGAAGCCGCCAGCACAGCCTGCACCAGGCATGAATTAATTCACAGTTTTGGGGAAGAATATTCGTGGTTTTTGTTTTTTGTTTTCCATTTACTCATTTAGAGAGTTCAAACTTCAAAACTAAATGCAAAAAAGATAGCTTTGAGAAAGAGATTTTTATTACAAGTCTTTGTATACTCGTAACAACGGGTTAACAAAACTGCAGTGAAATGAAGGGAAATCACCTTGCTTAGTTAGACTTTTGTGAGTTATTTGATTATTTGTCTTTGGATAAGCATAGTTTGCTCTGAATTTTCTCCTCGGTGCAATACCTGGATCCTCGAGCGAGGTCATTCTAAGCCCTATTGCAGCCATCACTGGCATCACTGTAAGGAAATGCTGACTAGTCAAGTGCTCAATGTACTTTGGTTTATTGGTGTCTTTGCCACAGAGGAGAAAGTGCTTAATTGTATTGTGAGCATTTTGCCTGTCATGCTTTAATTTTTCAAGAGGACGTGTTTTTAAAAATAAGTATGAATTCCCTGAAAATGGTTTGGAATGAAAAAGACAGATTTTATTTTACACAGATTTTATCTTCTCTGATATTACATTTAGCAAAAACTTTGCTATGCTTGGGCAGGCCAACATTTTTATTTCAATACATGGTTAAGGAAACAATGACTAAATTCACACTCCACATTTATATCTGTATCTCTGTACAGGAGAAGAGCAGTTTCATCTGGCTTCTCTATTTGATGCAGCAGTTCATATCATTTTATAGAACCATGGAGATCCAAAAAAACAAAAGTCATTATTAATTTTAATTACAATTCTAAATGTAATTTATGCAAGAATCCCAAAGTCTATATTCAAGACACCTGTGATTTAGGCAGCCTCTCCAGTGAGTGTTGAAGAGCATGGCTCAGCTCCTCTTTTTGCTCTTCTGCTTAAATGAGAGTTAATGGGGAGCTGCAGGCTCCAAGCCAGGCAGACTCGAAGATGCTTTGGACGTGGCACCAACAGGGTCCTGGATGTACCATGCGGTCTTGGCTGTTTTAGTAAGATAGGCTTGTTTCTCCTACAGAAATGTTGATTTTTTTTTAATTACTGGGTGCTGATACCTTCTCTGTTATATTGTCTCCTCTGCCCTCCTGGAGGCTTGTTCCAAGAAATGGTGATTCTCTTTGTGAGCAGAGAGGTAGATGAGTTTAGTGTTTGATGTTCTTGATGTTTTTCCCCAACATAAGCCTTGGGGCTATTCCTCAGGACAGGATTAATTCAAAGTCATTTACAAGTTAGTGCTCTCATTTAAGTTAGTCATCGCCCATCTGTCAGCAAGGAGAAGACAGTTGCTTCTGCAGGATGATTCTTCCCACCCTAACCCATGTGCCCGGGAAGCCTGGGGCCTCTGTAGAGACTTTTTTTCAGCTGCTGCTTTTCAAAGTTTTCACTATTTTTTTTTTCTTTTTGCTTGCCTTCAGGCCTTGGTAGTTTCCTGTGCTTGCACCTTTTTCATTCCAGTTCTGAGATTGTAAAGCACTGTTATATTTGTGCAGGCACTTTGTATAGTCCTGGCATCTCCCATTGGCTTCCAGTTGCCACAGGCCCTACATGTGAACATCATGTCTGATGTGCATAAGTCCGTGTTTCAAGGATCACACCTCTCCTAAGAGCCCCCTTCCACAAAAGCAACCAGCAGAAGACAACAGTTTAATTAATCTCCCCCTGTTTATCCCTAAGAGGTCTTATTTTTAGTTTTCTTATTGTGAAATTGTTCAGTTACTCAGAGTTCTTAAACCAACAATGCATGCTGCTATTCAATAGATTTTTGGGGGGCCTTGGGCTTTTTGTCTTTTTCTTTTTTTTATGTAATAATAAACATTGCAGGGAGGTTAACGTGTCATAAAGCTAAAACATCCTGTCCAGATGCCCTGAGGCCCCCCGGTTTGCTCAGTGTAATTTGCTTTTTAATTGATCCCAGGCTGCCTTGTATGAGTTATGGCACTTGCAGTGCTCTGAATGATAGGAAATTTCCGTAGACCTTTGGCTGAGCTCAGTGAGAAGTGAGGTAGAACTGGGTTGTGCTTGGATTTTCCTGGGGTTTTTATTGGAAAAGAAATGAGGTGCTTTTGAAGACTTGCCATGTGTTTTGTATCCAGGTACTGGATATCACCCTGGACAAGGCTGTGTATGCTCAGTTGCAGCCTGCCTGGTTACTTACCCAGAAGCGTTATTAGAAGATGGTAATCCTCACTTTTCACATCCTTCAACCTGCTCTGACAGGACAGCCTTCTGGCCCCAAAAACAAACTGGGAAATCTGCTCCCTCCTGACTGTAAATTCACATTCTTCCCTCCCAGCCCCTGTGTCCAGCCGCCCTCCCAGGCGGGCTCCCTGTCAGGACGGTTGGGCGCAGTCAGGCATGAGCTGCTGAGCTGGTTCCAAGGCTCCGCGGAGTCTGCGGTCGTAGCCGTGTCTGTGCTTATCTCCCTTGGACAATGTCAGGTCAGAGCAAACAGGAGCTGCTCCTGCTCTGAACTTCACAGATACTCCTGGCTTCTTTCCTGTCCCCAGTAGCTCCTTGTTGGGGAACACGGGTTGTTGCTGCAGCTCGTGAGCTGGGTCCTCACCTTCCTCCAAGAGCAGCGGCTTGTGCCTGTGAGCAGATGTGATCTCCCATGTGGGGAAGGAGGGAGCTAAACACTCAGCACGCTGCCGAACCTAAAGGATCTGCCTGCATGGGGAAAGGCAGCACAGCACATCTGACACTGCTCTGCTTTGGAGAAAATCCTGATGGAGATAGATTTTTCTGTGAAGAGGCATATTCTCCTCATGAACAGGCATTCAGCGTGGTTTGCTTCCTTTTAATGGTTTAGAGCAGAAAGAAAAAAAAAGAGAATGAGAAGCAGCAGAGCAGGAATCAACTAGGCAGAAGAATAAGGATGCCAAATACAGTGTAATTAAAAAGCTGGAAATATTCATACTGAGATACCTAGAAAAAATATAGAAAAGGGACAAGATTTTTCATGTATAGGAGCTAGAAGATTTGGCCCCAGGCATGTGTTTAATCTGCCCAACAGTAAGCAGTAGAGACAATATCACTTTCATCAGCCAAGAGTTCGGCTGGGATTAATGTACAATCCCAGAGCTCAGGATTTTGGAAATCAGGCCAGTGAAGATAATTTAAATATCCCCTGCTCAGTCTTTCCCACAAGGAGAGGGTATCCAGAGCTATTTGGTTCAGCTGCCACCCCTGGGACTTGTCCCTGCAGCAGTTTTGCAGTAGCAAACACAGCAACATTTACAGTCACATTCACAGCCATTCTGCAAGCTCCTGAGCTCACAGGTGAGGAAAACGCAGACACTTCCACTGCAAGCAGACCTGTATGGGGCTTGCTGCAGCTTGCAAATACACACCAGCAGTGCAGCTTTGGTGCCCGTCCCCAGGGTACTGCTGCAGAGTGTGAGGCTGTGTGTGCCAGAGGTTTTATGTCTCTGCAGAAGCATCTGGCATTGGCTACCGCTGGAAATAGGACACAGAGCTCCATGGGCCAGCTCTTAAATTGCAAGATACGTGGAGCAAACCACGAAGAGTTCATATTTTGTTATGCATTTCCACATGCTAGCTTTGGTTTTCTGTTCCAAACGTATTTAAACTCCTGGGAGATATGAACAAACACGATTTCATTAAAAGGACACTGTCAACTGTTTCATTTCTCTGTTTGTCACCCTTTGCAACATTCAGTTAACTAGGGGTCTCCAATCCTGTGTTGGATCTGGGAGCAAATGTTGATGGCAATAATGTAGAAATTCTCTAGACTTTGCTAGTGAAACTGTGTTCAGTGCTGAAAATGGTTTTGCATCAGGCTCTACAGGGCTTTTGGGGTCACTGGCAAAGACCAGATGCTGGCTGGTCTCTAGATTCAGTCATTGGCACGGCTGCTTCCAGGGAAGGTGTACAGCAAAAATCTGGAGGGATCTCCCACCAGATTAGTATCACCTTAAAGATGAGCTCTTACTCCTTCAATGTATTTTAGACTATAATTAGCCTATAATTGGCACTGTAACTCTTTGACAGTGTCCCTTTAAGTATTATAAGAGAAACTGCTCTTTTCTAAGATTGTTCTCGCGTGTTTTTGTGAATGCAGTAAACTTATATAGTCATGATTAAAAAAGCAAAGAGTTAAAATGCTAATCCAAACTCCCTTGTTTTGAACAGGAACAGAAATTCTTGGCAAATCAGTTCGTATTCTATTCTCTACGTTAGGAGTTTGCATATTTTTTGCAATTGGCTACATGTTGCTGCCACTATTTGCTTACTTCATCAGAGACTGGCGGCTGCTGCTCCTGGCGCTCACCGTCCCGGGGGTGTTCTGCGTCCCGCTGTGGTGGTGAGTGCGACCGGGCTCCCCAGCGTCCCGCCTGCGGCTCCTTCCCCGGCTCAATCCCTGCACAAGCAGAGGGTTGGAACATCAGCTTGCTCTGGGGGTGGTTTCTTTGGGGCCTTTTTTTTTTGCCTTTTTCCTCCTCTTCAGTTTCTGGCATTGTGTTGGCCTTGAACTGGAAGGCGTTTTCTTTTTCTTTTGGCCAGCTTTAAGTCAAGCCAACCGTCTGCTGCACCTCTCTGGCCATGGGCTTGAATCCACTTTTTACCTGCTTTCCACTGCAGTTTGAGAATTTTGTATTTAATTCCTAGCTTTGAACACTATGAAAACCTTTTTGTTTGCCATGTACTATTGCTGGATGACTTGTACTGTACTTCATTTTAATTTTTTTGCCTCCTTTTCTCTTTAAACTTTTTTTTTTTCATGTGGATTCAACTGCTGGTTGTACTAAAGTCTCACTGAAACACTGCAAGTTTTGTGTCATGTTACACACATTTAATACAATAGGTGAGGGGTGTTTAGTATTAGACATAGAATATGCTATCGTACAGCCTTCTGGAGTGAGTTCCAGGCATTTTACACTTTTCCTTAAAAATTCTCTAACTGCTTAGTAATACCTTACCCTTGGAGGAGGACCTTGGTGACTAAAAACAACTCTTTTTTTTTTTCTTTCATTTGCTTGCAACCTATTGACCATTATCAGAATGATTCAGAGCCCCCAAATTGTGTGGTTGGGGAACAGTCATCATTAGGAACATCATACATCTGGGAGCTGTTTACCAAGCAGGCTCACCTGAAAGCTGGTAGCTTTAGCTCCCAGATGCAGCAACGTCTTCCAGGTGGGAAAACACAAGAGATAAGGAGGTTTCATCTTGACTGTGTCAGGTTCTGCATGAAGGAGAGCTTTTAGAGTAGGTGAGGGTCAATGAAGCCAGGGCAGCCCTGGCAGGCAGTTGGGATGTTTTGCTTCTCCTCCTCCTCCTCTTTATTTTCTTTTTTAGGCTGAATTTTAAGTTCTTGGCCCGTTTCAGGGTGGATAGAGTAAAATGTTCATTCTTCTAAGGCAGTCCCTGGGAAGAAAAAAAAATCTTAAAAAAAAAAAAAATCCCAAACCCTCTTCTGGTGCATCTCTATTGATTCAGCCACTTCCTCGTGCTATAAAGAGGAGATATCAGCTTCCCTGCCTTTGACGGTTGGGAGTGCTGCCTTGCTGAATTGGCCCAGCTTCCCAGATGCTGGAGATGAATGGGAACTTAGGGGCTTAAGCACATCCGTATTTTAAATCTAAACTAGAAAAGGATTGTGGAGGTTGTCTAGCACAGCCACCTACATTATTATATATTGTACAGCTATGCTGTTGAGCTTTCCGCCGCCTCCTTCCTCATCTTCCTTTTTCCTTCAACTCTTCCCCACCTACTACAAATGTGCACCCACTTCTCTTCTGCCAACCCTGGGTAAGTGGGCACACAGCAAAGAGCAGATGGAGTGTGCACAGCCTTGGGGAGGCTAAAGGTATTGCTTGATTTCTGCAAGCCAAGGAAGGGGCAAAACTCATGTGAAGACCTAGAAGCTTGAGTAGCATGAGCTGGAAGGTAAGTTCTCCCAAGCTGTGCTTGCAGCCAGGTGAGATGGGGGCAAGAGAAGATGGGTTTCAGCATCCACCTGGGGATTCTTTTCCCTGTTTTACAGGGCACGTCAGCAGCTTTGAAAGCAGAGGACAGAGCCTGCCCTGCATTACAGCAGTGACAGGTACCTAGGGAGAGCCGGGCAGTTCCACCATGCATGCCTGCTTAGCAGATCTTGTCATGAGAGTGCTCACAGAGCATGAACAGGGGGCACAGAGAGCTCTGTATGTCACCTCTGGCTTTATGTTCTTGTGTTGTCCATTTCCAAGGACACCAGCAGCAGGCTCTGGCAGCGACAGCCTGCCCAGCACAGATACTCTGTTTTTCTTTGCATGCAGCTCTTACCTGGGGCTTGAGGAAGGCAGTAACTCTGGCTAAGCTGGAGGTTGGCTGCTCCTGTAAGCCACACCATGCTGTCCTCTTGGTTGCCTGATTTTCGTTTCATCTTCCCACTGTGTTCATCCACCTCTGCCTTAATGTTCGAGAGGGACTGGGAGTGCTCCTACACTTGCCTGTGGTGGCAAAAAGAGTTAAGGAAAACTTACTGCTGTTCTCAGCTTGAAGTACTACAGAAGGGGAGATATCCTTGTTCTGTGGCTGCCCTAATCATCTGTTATTTTTCTGAAGGGATAGTTACTTAAAAACTACAGCAGGAAAGGGGTGGTATCCTTCATACTTGCAAATGTAAGTATAATTTACTCCAAAAAGTTATGTGAGGTAGGTCCCTCCTTTCATATGGGTCTTAACTGAAGAACTCCTTTCTTCTTGTTGTCTTGAAACAGTTCTACAACACAGGTGTATTTCACTGTGCACCAAACAGCTGTGTTTCATTAGGCAACAGGGATGGGGAGAGCTGGCTTTGAATGTGAGCCTGTTAGATGCTGCTGCAGAATAAGCCCCATGGGGCATGTACAGTTTGTCAGGGCTCTCTTCTCTTGTCACCCCACTCTGAAGGGTATTTGGTGGGAATTTTAAGAGTGTGAAGCCTGCACCGAATTACCACGCATGGCACCTTAGAATCCAGGGCTAATGTGAGGGTAAATGGGGATCTAGGTGCAAAACTGTGTTGAGACAGGTTGCTATTAGATGGAATTTAGGCATCGGAGCCCACTACTTCCTGAAAATGTTACTTACACCTCATTCTTCTCTGTTGCTTTTTTATTCATTCCTATTCCAAAGACTCCAAAGTGTTTCCAGTATTGTCTTTGCAGTCTTGTATTCTTCAGCTTATCCACAAAGAAGAGCAGTGCAGGTAGCACTCCCCTCTCATAAACTCATGTTACAGGTGGAACAAGCTCATACAAATCATCTAATGCTCAAAACCTTTGGCATCGTTTGGGGTCAGCCCTTCAGGGAATTCATTGGAAAAGGAGTGTCTGACCTCCTTTTTTTCCAAAGAAAGGGAACATTACTGCTGACTGATGAAAGCAAGCCAGCATCTGTTGAGATCAAAAGATTCAGTTAAAGAAACGTGCAAATTTCTGTCCTGTGTTTGGTGTTAACACTTGGTGCGTGCCTGGAATTGATTTGTAAATGCTACCTACTCTGCTGCTGCTGCCCTTTACCTGCAAGAGCCCGCATCAGATTGGTGGTTAAAGTGAGAGATTTGTGCACAAGCTTCCTGTGACACAGAGCACAGCCTTTAAATATCCTCTCTGCATTTAAAGCATTTCCATACTGGACTTTTGTAAGAACATTTTTCTTTAGTATTAGTCAAGCTACCTGTATCTTTCCTGTTCATCTATTAACTTCTGTCTTTTTGGTGGGCAATAGGTATCACTTAAAAAACAGCGACTTAGAGAAGGGCCCAAGCACATAACTGCTTAAGCATGAAAATAAACATGTTCCATTATTTGAATTCTTCCATTGAGGCCACTGATCCTAATGGGACATATCAATGAATTGCATTACCCACATGCTTATGCGTTGACTATGTTCTATTACAAGTAATCTGTGAGATGAAAGGGTAACTCAGAAAAAAATATGAACATGTTTTTAATAATGCTTGTACTTTTGTGAAAATGTTGACTCATTTATTCTGACATTTATTACAGGATCATTCCTGAATCCCCTCGGTGGCTGATCTCCCAGGGAAGATATAAAGAGGCAGAAGTTATTATCAGAAAGGCTGCAAAAATAAATGGCATTCCAGCCCCAGATGTGCTTTTCGACCCCGTGGAGGTATATGTCGTATGTCTTGCTACTTTACCTCTTCAGCAGTTTTCCCCTTTGGCCATTTAATGTCTTGTGAAACAGCACAGTAAATGGTTTACAACACGAAAGGCTGCCATTTACCGTGGACCAAAGGTAAGTGATACCTTGTTAGGGTTAGGGAGCTTGAAATGAGAAGCCAGAGGGTTTGCAGAGTTGTTTGTTTACTACAGTAAAGTTGTTTTCCTTGGCTGTGGTTGGTTGTGGTTTTCAGACCAAGGGTCCTCATTCAGGCAGTGGGGAAGATCCAAGGAGAAGACAGATTTATTTGCGTGGCAGTTTGGTACCCTATTACCAGCTCGCAACTTAACAGTAGCTCTTCCATGAGAGATCTGGTCCCATGTCCAGTGCTGAATGCACACGTGCCCATGCTGCAGGGATGCATCAAAGGGATTCTTCAGACCTTGCAAACTAGCAAAGCACCAAAAGGCACTTAAAAGTATGAATTATAGCGAAGGCAGTGAATAATATGAAGCTCTTCTGCAGGCTAGTTTCTTGTGTTTTGTCTTTGGGGACAACACGAAGGAAGGCCAGCCCAGCACTCAGCAGTGTCAGCAGAGCAGGTGCAGCGCAGCCGCAGGAACCAGACCAGCTCATCCCTGGGCTCCTTTCTCCCTCTAGTGGCTTTTTCTCCTCCTGAAAGAGCAGAGGAATCTTCCTTGCTCAAAAAAACCTCAGCCTTGCTTCCAACCCTGTGTTAATAACAGTCACATGTAGCTGTGTCAGACCTTATGCTTCAGCTTTACTGTTAGAACCTACGTTTTAAGTCTCTTAATGCAACAGAAAGATGGAGCCCCACACGCTCCTCTAGAGGAGAGAAATGCTGCTTGCTGTATTTCTTGTTGCAGCATCAATTTCTTCAATGTCACACTTGCATTTTGGCTAGGGTGCTTAAGGTCTCTTTTCACGTGTATGTTTGAGCAGAAATTCAAGTGTATGTTCTTGTCATGGGAAGCTCCTCTTGCAAAAGCTGTGGAAAAGCACTTCCTTTTCCTCACAGACAGCATTCGGATGTCTTTCACACTGGAAATTACTTTTGAGTCTCCAGTGGAATCTGCTTTTCATCATTGCTGCATATTTCTGAGACCAACTGGCAGCTCATCTATCCTTCCACTTTGTGGAATCCTGCACGCCCAAGTGCCTGTCCACAAAAGCCTGGGGATTTCGTTCGCACGTTGCAGCCTCCATTGAAGTATTTCTCAAACACTGCCAGGAAAGCGTTCCTTGGAAACCAAGACTTTTTCATAGGAAGCAAAATGTCCTGGCCGGCCAAGCAGGAGCAGCCAGGAAGGCTCAGAGTTCACCTTCTTGCAGGCAGTTCAGTGCTGTGAGTTGGTCTTTTCCTGAAGTAACTGGCTTGGGATTGAGGCTCCCTCTGCCTCCGTGTCCCTTGTCTTGCGGCTGCTCTTCGGAGTCGAAGCTTTAGCACTGGGAACCCGTCTTTGTCCTCCCTGGTGTGACCACCTCCCTGGTGCAACCTGCCTCTGCGCAGGCAGGAGCAGCACCCTGGGATCTCCGAGCACGATCTTGCCACAAACCCCAAACTGGCCTCTGTCTGAAAAGCGAGGACAGGCGGGTGGATGTTGTGACACACCTGATCTCAGCACTGAGTTCCAGCTCAGTTTGAACAGAAGAGTTGAGCAGATGCTGCACAGCAAGATGCCCTCGGCAGTAACGTTACGACGGGAAGCTCTGTGTCAGCTGTGCAGGAAGCAGTAACACAGCAGCAGATACCCCTTTGTGAAGGGCTAACAAGCTGCCCTGGTTTCGGTGCTAACGCGCACAGCTGGACGTGACTCTGGAGCGCAGCTGGCTGCAGAAACAAGCTGCCTACTTAAGGACGCTCCCTGACGCAGACCTGGCCCTTGGGCTGCCTGGTTATCCCCCAGTATTGTCATAACTTCCTAGTTGCCCAAACTTGTGGGTGTGCAAAGGTTGTTTTGCTCTTAGGTGTGTGGGAATTTTTTGGTTTTGTTTTCCTTTTTCCTTCAGATGCAGGATTCGAAGCCTCAGCAGCAGCAGAAGGCTATCCTTCTGGACCTATTTCGAACCCGAAACATTGCAACTATTACTATTATGTCATTACTTTTGTGGTAAGGAAATGTGTATTCCTAAAGTACCCAGGCAATAGAACAAATTCTGATTTGAGGACACATGTCAGTTTTAGATAATGAATCTTAGAGCCTTGGACCCTACTTATACATAGTCCTTAACTAATACATGGCCTTCAGTGGTCCCTGCAGCCACACTAGATTAACCACAAACATGTGGAGAGACTAGCCCTCACTCGGATGTTAATTATTTTGGAAAATGTAAGAAACAACTTTAATTTGGGTTTTTTTTTTTGTTTGGTTTTTAAGAAATTGCCACCATTGTGTCTGTTTGAAGAAAAATATCCTTAAACATGGGCAGCAAATCGGTAGCACCACAAGCACTAGAACCCATTGCCAACGTTTCTGCTCAGTTTTGTAGAGTGCCCAGCTCAATGAGAGCCTCAACCCTGCCAGGGGCAGCTGCATGGAGTGATGACACGAGTAACACCTAGGGACGAGCTGTGATCCTTTTCTGTACATATTTCCCTCAGCTGAGAGGACTGGCTAGACAGCTGGCATGCCATAGTGAGGCACCCTTGAGATTTGAAACCTGAATGTCCAGCTCTCTCAAGAAGATTAAAATGAGATTTAATGGAGCCGCAGAGGGGTGGGAGATCCGTTCACTGGAATTTGCTGTAAATAAGAACGTAGTTGGTATTGAACATTTTCAAGATTTGCTTCATTGTGCTGTTAGTGAATCCATTGCAGTGAAAAAGCCTTTGTGTATGAGCTGCACAAAGGCCTTCGCATAATATTATATACTCAGGAAGATCAGTGAAGCCAGAGGTCTCTACAAGCTGCTGTGGATATGACCAGTGCAAAGGATGAAAGAATTAGAAAGATGGGGTCACCACTGATATTTTTAAGCCACACGATCTGTGATCATGTGGCTTTGGCAACACCCTACCTAAGATCTGAGGTAACACTGTAGACACTTGAAGAACAGGATTCCTCAAATAACTGATTCTTATTGCTTTTCTCAGGATGATAACATCGATTGGTTACTTTGGCCTGTCACTCAGCACTCCCAACTGGCACGGAAATGCCTACGTCAATTGTTTCCTCTCGGCAGTTATTGAAATCCCAGCTTACGTGATCGCCTGGCTTCTCCTCCGGTACCTGCCTCGGCGGTATTCGATATCTGGCACGTTGTTTTTAGGAGGAGGTGTTGTCCTCTTCATTCAGCTGGTTCCTGCAGGTACAGAATTCAATACGTGACTTAATACTGTAAAATATTTATAACACTTTATTTACTTATCTGATAGTTCAATAAAATAATTGGAAATCATGATCAAACTTAATAGTCTGAGGTCAAATCCACGTATTTTTAAATAACATTATACATACATATATATATATATATATATATATATATATATATGCTGAGTCACAGCTCATTTATTGTGTCCTATTACTGAGCTTTTTATAGTCCAAGGGAACCAGCTTGCAAAATGAGCCAAGAGTGTACTGTGATTTGTCTGGTTATGCCTAACGACTAAAAATCCCTGCAAGTGTTCCAAATTTCACTGTGCATAAATACTCCCAGGATTTTGCTGGAGCAGGATGGCTGTGAGCATGTGTTCTGTTATTGAATAAACACAGAATCTCGTTCCAGTTCGTTATATGGCGACAGAGCTGGTGTCTAGGAAATAACCTGCCTGCTCCTTCTGAACTGTGCTTAACACTTGGAGCCAAGTAATCTAGGGATTATTACACTATACTGTATATTTAAGACTTTATAATGTAAAAAATGACTAAGTAAATAAAGAAACAACAAAGCTGGGCTGTGCAAGGGGCAGGGAGGTGATATTGTCTGAGAGAGGCAAAACAAACAGAAGTAACAAGCACAGGGTGCAGCTTACTCACCTTGACTTTTTTTGTTTCTTTTTCCCTTCAGGTTCTCATGTCCTGTCTATTTTCCTGGTGATGCTTGGAAAATTTGGAATCACATCAGCGTTTTCTATGCTCTATGTGTACAGCGCTGAGTTATACCCAACGTTGGTCAGGAACATGGCAGTGGGCGCCACCTCCACCGCTTCCAGGGTGGGCAGCATCGTTGCTCCCTACTTCGTGTACCTGGGTGAGACGCCTTGCGTCGCTTCCGCTGCACGAGGCGGGCTCTTTTCAGGGCACTCAGGCAATGCTGGTCAAAGCAAAGCTGGTGAAATGGTAACAGGTCACGTCTTGGCAGTGGGTACCTGCAGCTGGTACCTGCAGCTGGTAAGCATTGGTAAAGGCACTGCGTTGCACCCTGTTCTTGCTGAATCCTGCAGACCAGGCAGTGGGTCACACATTCTCTGAATCTCCGCTCTGTAAAGCAAGATGGGGAAAACATACAGGTTAAGCAGCACAAGAGCATGTCGAGCTGTGAGTTTAGTAAAATGATTTTTGTGGGTTGTTAGGCACTCAGCATTAAGAAAATGGCAGGACTGAAGCTGCTGTGTAAATGTTTAACATATGCATTTTGATGCACTTTCCTCTAGTAGAGGAGTGTGTCCACTGGTACACAACAGCTCTTCAGTACTCACTTTGCTTTTCCTTTTTGCTTTGGGCCTTGCATGCTTTCACTGAGCAAAACTGTTAATTTCCTCATAGGCTTTTCCTGCCATTCCCTACCATCACATTCTGCACTCTGGACAAATTAAAAAAAAAAAAAAAAAAAAAGCCACAATGCCTCTGGGATACACAGAAATGAGCCCGTGTTGCAAATGAGAAGTTAGAGGGATTAAGGAATTAAGAATGGAAGTGTCCATTCATGTCAGATGCTAGCCTGGGCTGCTCCATTTCTTGTCAGAGCTACTTTCTGTCCCTCAAACACATCCTGTTTCCTTCTACCAGCACAGGGTCTGTGTCAGCCCTCCTTTACACCTAACACATTACATGCCTAATTTGCTTCCTACTGAGCACAGAAGTTTGTACTGGGTTTTAACTCCCAGATTTCCTTGGGGCTGGCCTCTAAGAGTCTGGTTTCACTCGCCAAAACAGGATCCTAAACTTTAGGAGGTTTTAGAGAAACTCGTGAGCTACTGATATTTGCTATAGCTAAATTAGGACTCTGCAGTTCATCCAGCTCGTGAACACAGAAGGAGATCAAATCACAAACTTTGGCTCTGTGTGAAATTCCCAGGAGTCTTGATTTTAATCCTGGTTTATTTCATACATTAAGTACATCGCTTTATCCCAACTAAAAAATAAAGCTGTCAAACCCTATTTGGTACTTTCTCTACCTTAAATGCACAAATTGCTGGCTAATCCCTTTCCTTTTCATTTCTGTGCTATTGTGGCATGGAAATCTTGCTTCCAGCCCGAACACTCGTGCACTAACTTCAGGCTTCTGGCAGTGGCCACTATTTTCTAGTCCAAAATCAGACTCTGAGTAGACCAAGGTCACAGCCTCCTGTCTGTCACGGGAGGCCTGATGCTTTCTCCACTTGCACTAAGGAACGTATTTAAGAATTTCCCTGTTAATGGCCTGTTAAGCAGAAATTGGCCTGTGAAACTGCCATTAGTCCCTTCCCTTCTCTTGTACAAGAGCAGCAGAATACAGAATCCCGGACAGCTGATGAGATCTGGTTGCTTATGAACGCGTATTTTTTCTCACATTTTTAAGTCTCTTGCTTTCTATCTTGTGACTGAAGATTTAGTTCCAGGTGGCACTGTAATACTGATTTTCTCCATGAGTGATGCTAGCACGGTTGTAATCTTACAAAAATGTTAGCTATGCCTGTTGAACGTGTACAGAGGAACAATTTGATGCTAATCAAGCAGTAGTTGCCAGTATGGGATGTATATCAGTATATGCATGATACTGATGAGAGCTGGTCATAACTATATGATCATTCCAGATCATATATTGTATTTTTAAATTAGAAAAAAAACAAAACAAAACAAAAGGAAAAAAGGTTGGCTTCATAGATGATACCTCATATAGCTCTGTTTGGGATTAATCTGTTATATTTATAAAGATTTCAATTCATTAGTCCAAATTAATTCTGTGTTACAGTGATGTCTGCATTATAAATTACTTCATATTTATTTATATTTATTATCAATGAGTTCATTGTATAATTAGCGCTGTCATGCCCTGTGTTCTCTCAGGTGCCTACGACAGATTCCTGCCTTACATCCTCATGGGAAGCTTGACTGTGCTGATAGGGATCCTTACCCTCTTCCTCCCTGAAAGCTTTGGGAATCCTCTCCCTGAGAACTTTGAGCAAATGCGGAGAGTGAAATGGTAAGTCCTGGGCAAAGGGATCCACCTGAAATCCATGGGCTTACATTAGAGTACACATTAACGTGCTGGTGCAGGGAAGATGGCTGGTGTTTGTAGTCACTATGGTGGGAAGGAAAATTGGGAGAAGCAGAGAGAAGTTGAATTGGTCAAAGTGCAACTCCAAAGCTACCATCCAGATTACTGAGAATTTGTAGGAAGAACAGAATATAAGCAATAATAACTTGAAAAAAGCTTGGAGTTGCCTACACCTAATCCTTGTGTGTCTAAGGATCTGTCATTTACATTTGCAGAGTAAGAATTCTCAGGTGAGGTGCCTGGAGAAGGGCACACTGTTCCTCATCACAGTTAGGGCCTTCTCCTATGTCTGACCTGGGGCTTTTAAGCTGCACAGTCGAAAAACTGCGGCAGGAGAAGAGTCAAACCAGATTCTCTTCACTAGTTTCTCGCATAAACGAAACAACAGTTATTCAGTCACTTGCATTCAAGCTCCAGGTGCTGCTTGCTGCATAGCTTGGTCCATGCGGGAGGGCATGCTTAACAGAGCACTGCCTTTTTTTTATCCAAATACTGTATTAGCTGTTGCTGATTCTTTTAAAAGTGCTTCGGTGTCATTCTGTAAAATGTTCCACTCTCTCTCAGTTTCAGAAATGCACAAAAACCCACTGGTGTTAGGAAATCAAAGGAGAATCCTAAAATGCTGGTAACACCATTGTGAAGAAGGCTGTCCACTCAGAAGGGCTGAAAGAACAAGGAAAACAAGCAAAAACCAACAGTCAGTGCTACTGTGCCATAGTTATAAACCTATTACCCCCTTTTGCTGCTGTATTTTACTGTAGTTTACTGCACAGATGCTGTCTACTCCCATAGGGTTGTTAGTCTGTGATTTGGTGTCCTGATAGGTGGAGTTTTTCAGCAGACATTGTTGGAAACAGGAGCTGCATGTGCCAAGTGTGTTTGAAGAGCGGGCTAGAAATGAGTATTGGGAATAATACAGCAATGACTCCACTCAGTCGTGTACGCCGTGAAAGCTGCTCATGGAAAAACTGAAAGGCCAAGTTAAAAAAAGAAAATAGAGGGAACATCCTGCTAGTATTTTCTCTCACTGCATATTGACTGGAAGAGAGCAGCCGGGTACCTTTCTTTGGAAATCTCAACATGCATCTCTAAAGGAAAGATCCCAGCCTCCTTTGAAATCCGTACCAATCCCAGTACCTATTAAGTGGAACCAGAATTTAGTTGTAACAAAGCACACACAGACTTTGATTTTTAAATAACTCACTGGAGTGAGTATATTTTGATGGTCCATGCTTCTGCCAGCACCTGGGATCCAGTTCTGATCCCCTTATCTTTGTAAAATGTGATGCTTTTTCACAAAGCCTGAACCCAGTGAAATCACTAGGCGTCATGGATCAGCATCTCTGTGGTGGAAGAAATCTTTAATAAGAAATAAAGTTTCTGTCAGGTAATTTCCATTTTCAAAAGAAACACAGGCTTTAGCAAAGAAACGATTCTATTCAAACATAATATGCAGTTTTATCTACCAGATTTTCAAGGTATATTAGCATAAACAGTTTTTAAAATATCTTTTTGAGAGTATTTTTTCCAAAGTGTTTCATTTCTCTTTGGATCTATGCCATGTTGTGCTGTACGTTCAGAGAAAACTCATTCCAATTTTGAAAGCATCTACAAAAATCTTTGCACTATTTGCAGATTTAAAGGGGATTTGGTGCTCAAAAATCTGTTGTTTTGTATGGGAGTTGTTCACCTGCAGCTACTGCCAACTCAAAAGGGCTCATTTGAGACCACACAGTCATTTCAAAACAAATGCCAACAAAACCATTTTTTCAATTGTACAAGTCATAGATGCTTTTTAAAAAGTAAAGCAGTATTAGATGAAAAATCAAATGTAGTATAGTTTAGAGCTGTGCTACTACTGTTCTCAAGCATTACATAGGCTGAGAAAAAAGTACAATACTACCTTATTTATTGGCTGCACAGATTCTTTTTGGTCACATAAAGTCTCTTAGACCTGGTAGACTGTTTTTTATCCTCTAAGCAACAACAAACCATGATTCACTTTCTGTAGTGGCCCAGCAGAAGGAAGATGTTTCATCTCTAATATAATTCATGGCAGTTTGTCTGCTGCTGGCTCTTGGCACAGAAACAAGCTAGGTTCAAGCACAAATACAAAGCTTTGTAACATTTAAGTACAGGTAACCTGTGCAGTTATTTCAAGCTGCAGTTTGGGACATGACAATACCATTTCCTTTCATATTAATTTTCTGCAGTCATGTTTTTCCCATAAATGGAATATAGCATGAGGCAACAACTATCCTGTGATCTCTAACACTGTTTCATCTCTTCTCAAACTGGAATTTCTCTAATGACAACAGTATTTAATTTTTTTTTTTTTACTTATTATAAAGGTATCTCTACGATAACTATTTAGACTTAACGAGATTTCTCAACAAAGACTTTTAAAGACTTGGCTAAATATAGGTGGCTATATTTTTATGAAGATTTTTATATTAAGTTGATACTTCTTTTAGGTGATTATAGGCTGACACATTTCTAAAAGGCAAGTATTTTTATATTCTTGAGCTTCGTAGTGTTTTAAGACCTAGTATTCCTTTTTTTAACTAAGAAGGGCTGCGGGTTTTTTTTTTAATGCCTTGTTTTAATTAGCTTTTTTTTTTCACTTATACTATTATCTATGGCAGTGCCTAACACTATAACATTTTAACACCAAATTTAAAAAAAAAGTTTAACAAGAGTGGCATGCAGTTCTCAGAAGAATGTGACATTGTTAATATTGTTATGAGGACTTTAAATTGTGTCAGAGCTTATTAAAAAAGGGGAAGGGAGAGTGCTTCAGCTGATGAAGCATTTGCAATAAAAATTTCTGTCCTCTGCCAGTAAGTCTTTCAGAGTCTTGAAGAGTGAAGTGATTCCCGAAGAAACCCAGACAACCATAGATTGTGGAAGGGGACTGAAGCTGGGTGGTAGGAGTGCCGGTTTGTGGCATGTTACTATTTTCTTCATTATAAAGCTCAAGAAAACAGTATTGCTTTAATAGCTTAAAAAAAAATAAATTTATTGCTAGTGAAGTATCTAGGCCTTCACTGCAATCTTCAGTTGTCTGCGTGTCAGATACTCCGTGGGGCTCAGTACAGGACCTATGTTCATGAGCAGCTGGGATTCCTGGGGAGAAGGACGGGCTGGACTGTTCCCCGGTTGCTCCGTGGGAGCTGTGCTATTCCTCATACCTCACTTCTGCCCCATTTCCTGGACTCTACCTGGGTAACCTTTTACCCTGGATAAGATCTGAAGTTGACTTATTGACTTTGTTAAAACATATCTGGAAAACAGAGCAGTTGTCACTTGTTAACTTTTGTCTTTGTTGTAATAAGTGTGCACTGGCATTGCATAACCTACTTGCTGTGTGGTTTGTAACTGAGGAATAAAGTCTCATAACTTCAACACTTTGTGCGAGGAAGTTTAAAAAAGTAATTCAGAAATTAAGTATGTTTCAATTAAACAGAAAATATTTACCTAATTATTATCCATCAGCAAAGCTTGCTGTAAATCACTGGACTCCCTGTTCTAGAAATAAGTTTTTGTCGCAGAATGGGACAAGGTAAAGGAGTAGTTTACACTTGGACTTAAAGAAAACCTCATTTCCTTGATCGTGCTGAGAAATAAATAAAATGAATCAAGGCCCCTGGCTCATGCATGTGCAGCTACCCACAGAACCCCTTAGGCTGTTGCGCTTAGAGCAGGCAGCCAACCAAGGGTATTGCAGTCAACAAAGTGATTTAAATCACTTTTTCCAAAGCTGGTTTGTGACAAAGTTAAAGTTAAAACCAAGCTTTCTAGTAGCAGGTTAAAAAAAGTAGAAAAGAAAAAACCTGTGCTTTGTAAGTGTGAAAAATCTTGTGCTCCTACCTGATGGGCACTGAGGAGAGGCCAAACCTCTCCCGTGTCCCAGCCCCGCGGCCCTTCCTGCCCTCTCTCCTCGCATGCAAATAAGAGCCAGAAGCTCCCAAGCAAGGGCCGAGCGGCCCATTTCTATTTTCTGCACCAATTCCGTGGGCCTGGCCCCAACGGAAGGGGACGGGAAGCGCCGCGGGGTTGTGCTGCTCGGAGCGACCTTGGTGCGAGTCGCTCCGGGCCTCCCCAAGCACCCACGGGGAGGTGACAGCCTCGAGACTGACTCGTAACATCGGTGTCTAGGGGCGGTGAGGACACCGCGTGCCCCCAGCCCCCTGCTCTTCCCTCAGCCGAGGGCCCCCACACTCTCCTCGGGACCCCTCAGCCCCCCATACGGTCCTCAATCCCCTACAGCCCCCACTCCCCTCAGCACCCCACTCTCCCCTCACTCCCTCTTGGCCCCCTACTCCCCTCAGCCTCCTTGAGTCCCTCACAGTCCCTCGAGCTCCCCTCGGCCTCCCGGGCTCCCCTCACCGTGCCGGGCACCGCGCCGTGCCGGGCGGGCGGTCACCGCAGGGCACGCTGGGAGCGCGCGCCGCCCCCG